GAGGCGACAGGATGCCCTGGATTTCGACAATGGCCGAAATCTAAACCTCTCGTATCCTATTGGGATGTAAGAATCATAGAAATAATCAAATCATAGCCTCTGTACCTGCCATGGCACGTCACGAAGGAGTCACGAAGGGGAGTCTAAAATTAGGGAGCAGCAGGAAGGAGAGTGAGGGGAAGGATGGACAGTGCGAGCTCCAGTGGTCCCATTTTTATGGTGAATTTTGCTCAGGGTCGGCAGCGTTCTAGGATCACATTACGCGTACACTTAATCCGAGAAGTGAAACCGAAAATATAGCCTCGTGCTGCAAAGTTTACTTGAAGATAGTCATTTGGTGTTTATAAGCCTCGGTTGCATAACAGAGAAATTCATAGCAAGTTCTAAAAATGAGCATATGGCCGGTAGATGACACGAAACAAGCTCGAAGCGGCCAAGGAGTCGCGACAGTCGGGCGCATCGTCGGGACACAGCCTTTGGTCTCGGTAATGCTAAGCGAGACGTGATGATTACCTGTTGTGCCGTGTGACACGGCTGTGGTGTGCCGAGGTTTCGTTTTCGCTTTTCGTTAGTACCGGCGAAAAACTTATCTAATGAGAACAGCTCAAACTGAACCATTCGCCCATATTTCCACAATCAATATTCAGCGGTACGGTGGGGGATCCAGAAGCGCAGGGTGTACGCTTGGATCGATAGGCCATCAATGACATTCATTCACGAACTGGTGCACTGAATGCTATCAGGGAAAAGCATCTCAATATGAACCCAAATACGCATCATACCCCCTATTTCAATCGTTCCTCAACATTCGACGCCGACATTCGAGAATTGCTGGGTGCTATATCTGAGCCCGGAGACAGCTCATCGTATTGAACAGAGTCCACACCGGAAGTCAGATTTCGCATCGCAATTGATGTTGTTAAGAAACACCTGCGGTATAATCGTTGTTGCTCTAATCCATCACATTGGATGAGACCTTATCATTTTGATGCGCGGCGATCCCCGCCGCCCTTTGCTAGCTTCCTTTCATTGCCCTTCCATGCCGTTCCCTCCTTCGTCCTGACTCAAGGATTCAAGTTCATCTTACCATCTGTCCTCGGATTGACCACATCGTCGAGCACCCGTTATTTTGGAGGGTTTATTGATGTCGGGATGTCGGGATGTTGGATGGCCGCGACGCAGAGAATTCAACAAATCTGCACTTCCCCGGATAAAGTACAGAAGTCCATGGAGCCCATCCGAGAATTCATAATTGCTGTACTGTTTTTTATCTTCGGCATGTAGTAGGCTGTAGCTCTCCCCTGCTTGCGGGCGAGTCCCTCCCTCCGTCCCGAATCCTCATTCCATTTACGTTCTCAAAATCTTCTCGTGCATCAGAAATCGTTCATTGATTCTTGCCTCACACCCTTCTCGTCTCCGAGATCAAACCATGAACATATCCCTCGCGTCATCTGGTACATAGTAGCTTATATTTGTTTAAAAACCCTCGAGAATCCCGTCTGTACAATACTGCAGCGAAATAACGCTTCAACGAAAGAAAGCATCTCGGAGAGAAGTAGCTCACGCCAGAGGACGGAATGAAGAGGTCACGGCGACAAGCACTGGGACCAGAAGGGATTGGAGACCTGACAGATGAAGCCCTCGCAGCAGGCCGGTCCGATCCAGTTCTGGTTCTGTGAAGTGCACTGAGCCCAGAGGGGAGCGCACTGTAACCCACGAGAGTCAGCGCGCCCGACCCTGGGTGGGAAGTAAGAGTAGAGACAAACATAAGGAGCGTAGGAGGAGGCTGGGGTTCGTTGAACCGAAGCCCATGGTGGCTTTGTGGGGGAAGAAAGTCAAGGAGTGTGAGACTGTGGGCTTCGGGCGGCGAACTCTGTCCGCATATCAAGGCCAGACGGCAGATTCAGAGAAGAAAAGTGAACTCACGGCACCAGGTAGAGTCGGGAACATGGTGGGGGCCGTCGTGGTCGGGCTGGCACTGGTCGGGATAGCGGACCCGGTGGTGGAAGTGATAGCGGCCGAGGCAATGAAAAGGAGCAGAGATTTGAAGGAGACCATGGTGTTAGCCGCTTTCAGGTAGTCAGCGAGCCAAGCACGCTCGATTCTAGTTTTATCCGACCCGCCCGGTCCTTATTATGTGGAAAGAGGCGGGGTGAGGCATCACATGTGCCCCAATACATTTCCATCCGGAATTACTCCAGACTGGGAATGAGCGAGGGACGTCAGGCCTTGTGATGCTTGTGCTGGAGAACACATTTCAACATGAACCATCCGGGATCTCCCCAGACCGGGACCGATCAATCGCGGTCCCACCGCCATCGAGTCAATATTAGCTCATGTTGTCTCCTGTACCTGGATGCATATCTTAGGATCATGGACCGGTAAAATTGAGAAGCAAAAAAAAAGAACACACGCGCAGCAGGAATGGCTCGACCGCGAGTCAAACAGGTAGCTCTGCATCAACCGCATTCGATGTGTAGTTGGTGCAGGCACGGTCCCACCGCCGGATAATTTACAGTAAGTGGAAGCAACACCGACCGAAGCATCACCGCCGCTGGTTTCGACGAATCTACCTGTTTTCCGTGGAGTTTGACAAATTTTCATTGGGCTATTGATTCAGCACTGGTGTAAGGTACACTGGGAGGGTCGTCCTCCTCTTGTGCCCTGACAGAACGTGGCACTGCTTAAGCGACGCTTCGGCCCCGCGATTGCATATGAAGTCCGGCCGGGCGTCGCTAATCACACGCAATCAATCAATGCATTTGATCTGTCCTAATGGCAGGGCGTGCCTGAGCAGGGCCATCTCAGAACCTCTATTCAGTCTTTGTCAACTCGGTGGACGTGCCTCGTCTAAAAATGCGTCATGATTGCACTGGCGCCAATGTGTCATGCCTGATTTCGGCGTAGATGTGGGCCACCAAAAATTCTGTTCTTGGTTGATCCATCTTAGGACCCTTATTCAGTTCCAGAAGTAGTCACTGGCCGACAGACAGACACAAATTCGACGGATACTGGCCTTGGCTAAAAACATCGATCCCAGTGGCTCGGATGCTCATATACGCTGAGTTATTTGATTACGGAATTGAAATCCGTTTTCAATACGGGCAAAATCTTTTTGCAACGACCCCCGGTGGCTGCATCGACCTTGGAGCTGATCCAGACAACCAAGTCTCGAGCTTCGGCCCTGGTAGGAAATACCTTCCTTGGATCTTTTCTTTGGTCTTACCATTTGCAGACGCAGGCCAATTTTGCCAGGTGTTCAAGTAAGTCGACGTCTCACTTCCGCGGCTGGTATTATTGATTTTCATCGTACACCTTCGCAGAATTCCCCGGACGTCTCGGCTGCTCTACACGCGAGGGCAGAGCCGTTCCCAGAGTCCAGACCGTGTTGTTGTTGTTACAAAAGGGGTTTCCAAAGTGAAAATGAAGTTGATTCCCATGAGTGTCATCGGTTGGAATCCACACAAACTATGCCAGCCTGCCAGCTCTGCGCGCTGCGTCAATACGTCAGGGCAATGCTAATGTCACTTCCATGCTGTCAAGTCCACGACCTGTCGGACCTTCATACAGATGTCGAAGACTTGTCTTCCATATCAGTTCCACCTGGGTGACCCCTTAACCTAGATCAAGAGGGGAGGATATACTATACTCGCGTGCATCCGGATAAGACTCAGGATAGTATACTTGCTCAGCTACGCCCCCTTTCGGAGCGTGTCAAATTGTATTGACATAATATATTGGCCTATAAAAAATGTACTACCGCTACGCCGCAAAGCACACACCCTTGACGAGATCACCACTTTGAAGACTGTAGATCTCAGGCACATCGGGAGCGGCGAAGTACTCTGACCTTCTCCGGTCAGTCAATCCGAAAGAAACCAAAGGTCCCATCAGACTTCTGATTGTTCTTTCGACCAACACTGCCATTGCTGTACCTTTGATGAAAGTTGGACTATAAGTTGAATCGCGGTCAAAGTGCAACCCACACACATCATGAAGTTTTTCCAGCGCTTGATCTCTGTAGTCGCGGTGGTCGCAGTATCCACTGACGCAAGAGTGAGTTATCTCCTCCAGTTGTCATTGATTGGTCTAAATAAGCCCGTTCAGCCTTGGTCCAAACGCGTATTAGGCGGCATGTATGTATCTCGCATTTTCCGGATCCCGTCCCGTGACAAATCCCACAGAACCTTGTGCACTGGCATAAACTTTACTGGATTTTGTCTGCACCTGGACCTGGCGCAGAGCAGGTGCACTGATATCACGGATCCGGGACTAGTCGGTCAAGTATCCAGCATTCAACCGGACCACGAGCCCCACGACTGCTTGATGTTCACGTAGGCTTCGTGCAACGTTCTCTCTGTGTGTATAGCTGCTGCTGACAGCAATATTAGGGCACCGTGTGGATCGTCTGCGGGCACATCCGTATTGGTGGGGAATTCGGGTGTCAGCAATTTCGGGAACCTGGACAACTTGGCCGCATCCGTTGAGTGAGCATTGTCCATACTCTCGACACTCTCTGTATTTTCTCACGAGGGTGAGATAGATGTCAATGGTGAATCAGAATGATCGGATAGCTCGTTTCCGAGGTGCGGTTCAAATTGGAGCGTACTTATCTCGTCGAAACTAGTTGGAAACTAGCTACCATTACCGAAGTGTACTTGTCGTCGGACTGTTGTAGTCTACTTGCGGGTATTGTGTTTTTCAGAGTTTTGGAGAATTTTAGTGCTTGTGATGCGAAGGCCCGAAACGGGGTCTAGACCCAATTTTTGGAAGCCTGAAACGGAAAGTTTGGGGGTGTCCCGATACCTATTGTTTCTGGGGCCGCTTCTGGCACGCTGATACTGCTATTGAAACTAATAGTTTCGGGAGCAGTTTTGGGCAAGCCGTTTAAGTCATCACTTCAGGTTCTCAGAAACGTTGCATTTCAGGTAGGTATTGGTACGTGCGATTCTTCAGCCCGCAATTTCGCCACTTATACAAGCGCTTTTTGGTATGAATAAGACTTGGTAGCGGAGGGCGCGCACCTACTTCTCATATGCATCTCTTATGATGGTCAAAACGAAGGGATTTCTGGTTCGACTCCAGGCTGGGTCATGTCATGAAGATTGCGTATTTTTTTGGGTCAACATTCATCTGCAGGGACTACAGACGCAGAACAAGTACTGTAAAAATGTGGTCATTTTTTCTCATTCCCTTCCCCACCTTATCTTGCGTCTGCTGGAAATCATCGACACGAAAGAGCTCACAACGAAGTGATACCGACTGGATGTTGATTTGCCAGTTTTTAAGCTTACATTTTCTAAGCACAAGAGCGGAAGAGCTTTGATAAGCGGGAGACCTAGTAGCGAAAGGCATTGACCCTCATGCACCATGTTGCCAGTGTGTTCTTTATGAGGCTGAGTGCTACGGCAGAAATTAAAACACGGGCCCTCGGAAATGAATCATGTCGAAATGGTTGATTCAACTTGAACTTGAACTCGATGCGATTAAAGATGTATCGGTGGTGTAAATGGAAAAACTGACGAGAATAACAACCTGAATCCAGACCGTACATGAGGTAAAATTCCCCGCCAAGATTTAGCATAGGATTGATTGTACCTCCGAGTTAGAGGAATTTTATCGAGTCCGGGACCTTGGCTCGAATAAGCATGGTTCAACCGCTTGGATTCCCGATCAGCGCGTTAACTAGACGGACTCGAATCAACACTAACCCTGTAGAATGAAGCGAGTACCTCATATGGAAATTTTACTCGGGAAGTTACCTCGTTGCAAGGACCGTGAACACTGTGCCACTGCCACGAGTATTCATCCCGTCCTACCTCATGTCCTGCCTTATCATGGATTATGATTATCCGAAGATGAAACAGGATTTCACACTTCCTCAAGCCGGGATATAGGCGCACGTTCATATGGACATAGCGTGAATTGGTGTTCCAATAAACGCGCGCTGCAAGCATGAATGGATTCTCAAGAAACACGGAATAAACTGACTTGTGCATTGTGGCAACGAATCCTAATAGCAAAAACCGCGTGGTAAAATCAATGAACTCGTATGTGCTCGATTCGTGGGCACCCGGCAGCTGAGAAGATCGAGAAGCGCAGTGGATACTCATACATCGTCCCGTAGATCTGCGCAGAATGCTATCAGCAAAAAGTATCTCAATTTGAGCTACCTAACTACGCACCAGATCCTTATTTGCCAAATCAGGCGTTCGACGCTGTAAATTCAATGTTGATCGATAACTTTGAGACCGCAGACCGCAAGTCGTAGTGAGCGGAGCGAACACCGTAAGACATGGAGAACTAGCATCGCCGCACCCGAGGCGTATGTGCTGAAGACGCACCTGCGACATAGTCGGTGTTGTTCTGACGGAGTTCATACTCGGAGGACAGGATTCAATCGAATGCATTCGGATTGTGTGGTATACATGTACGATGAGCCGACGTTCAAGAGCTAAGCCGAGAGCCTCGAGCGCGGAAGAACAGGGAGCCAGGGCAAGAACAGGGGAGGAGGAATATAGTCTGCCCCCGAAGAAAGATGCAGCCCTATGCCAGAAATAGATTGCGCCCACCAAAAATCGACCGATCCAGGAATATCGCAGTGCGCGGAGAAAAGGTGGGGGATATATGAAGCGGAAGCAGTGCGTCCAAAATGGAGAAGTAAAGGCACGCGCAAGACAGAGACAGAGCAGAAGGAGCGACCACCAAAACGATCGCAAATATCACGAGGGCAAAAGAGAGCAGGCCGAAGGTGAGAAAGGGGGGCCGTGTATGTCTGCGTCAAAGACGAAGAAAAGGACAGAGGGTAGGGTCGGGCGACGAAAGATGCGCACGGGCACCGCGAGATACGCGCAAGACGTCGCAGAATGCCAGCGCATACGCACTAGGTAGTGCTAGTGCAGAATGTGGGGGGGTCACCCCCGAAGAGAGGCGGAGAGCCTTCGCGCCGCAGGGAGAAATTTCGCGGCAGGAGGGCCATGAAAGGCAACACAAGAGAAGAGGAAAGACGAGGAAAGAGTACAGAGGAGACGGAATGAGGAAAAGGAAGAAAGGGGGAACAGGCAGACGAGGGTACGCCAAAAGGAAGAAAGGAAAGGGCGGAAAGACGAGAAGGAGGGAGGATAGAAGAAAGAAGGGGGAATAGAAAAACACTCACCCGCCTCCTTCGCGCGCCATCGCTCATACTACGCCCAGCTCAACAACCGCCGCACCTCCCTCCCACCCTCGACCCGGCGCACAACCCCCGACAGCCCCCACCGCGAACACACCCGCAGCTCGTGCGCCTCCGTGAACCGCACGAGGCGCGCGACGGCCGGACGGCGGACGTCCAATGCGAGGGCGGAGAATACGAAGGGCGTAGCGATGACCGTGCGCTCGAGTTCTGCGCACACGCGCGCAACCAGGCGCGCGGCGTCCGGCAATCCCAGCACGGCGTCCCGCGCGGGCGAGAGGAGCTAGTCCTCCTTGTCATGATGCTTGACCTGGTACTACAGCGTTGGTGGCAGCGCTACTACGCGAAGCAGCAAATGGCACGTTGTTGTCCGCGGGCAGCATCATGGAGAGGAATTCGACGGCGCCGTAGGACGAGTCGGCGGGCAGGCTGTGCGTGCGCGCATGAGGGCGAATCCATCGGATGAGGGGGGTGGGGGAGTAAGGATTGCCAGGCATAGGTACGGTGAGTGCTGTGGCGAGCTTTGGTCTGTGCTTGGACGGCGTCGACGCCGTCCGCGCGCGCGAGAAGAGCAACGGTATCCCAGCAGATTCCTAGTCCTTCTTCTCGTGAAATCTCCCAACTCCTTCCTCAAGTTTTTGAACGGTGTAAGTCGACCTGCGCCTCGTGTTCTGCTCGCTGTCCGATGGCGGGGACAACGAGGACGGGCGGCGGGGATTCGGTGGACAGTCACGGTGGAAGAAGAGTATTCCGTAATCGATCAAATCGGATGGGACCTTGTCATTTTGATGGCGGTGATCCCCGCCGCCTGTACCTCCTACGCAAATACGCGGGTGCCACAATAATCTTGCTGATTCCATCGTTCATTCACTCAGGGCTTGCAGCGCAATTTGACGCGTCTTTTCAAACGCACAGATAGCGAGCAAATAGGGGCTTTCTGAATCCCATGTCTATTCATCGGCACCACCGTCAGCTGATCATGATGCGTTCTCACTCGGTGCTAGACGGTGGTGAGGACTGCAGACAGGATGTAGTGTTGATTTTTTTTTTCTTTTTCTATGTTGCATCTCAAATCTCACAGCTTCTCCCTGCCCACATGGTAAATTTACATTTGCATCACGTCGTGAATGAGAAGTTATTTTTGAGCAAAAGAATTTTAAAATCAGAATATTATGATCTAGACTAGAGATATGAGAATAATTCGTTGAGCCTTTTTGTAATACTAGACTGAGGGCATTCCGAGGAATTGAAACTGCTCACTTCAGCTTGACTGAAACCAACCTGTCCAGAATTTGTAACTATTTGCATTACGTCAAGTGACTTGAATCTTTATGCCGTTGTTCCGTGTACGTATGTGTCAGATAGCCTATTTATACCAGACAGCATCCACGAGGCTTCCACGTCTCACCACCATGTCAGAATCCCCCCCGCACTCGCAGCCCCCCCACACCTCACCCCGCGAAGCTGTGAATCAGCTACAGCCTGGCTCGGATGAGAGCAACAACATTGACAGGTGTGTGTATACTGGGTCCTTCCAATATGACATGCTTACAGTGGCATGCAGACTGATCAAGGCGATGACCACAGCCCTCCAGGAACTCGGAAAACAGAATGCAGAACAGGCAGATAGGTATGTGGCCCCTCGGATTCTCAGGATTGGAAATAACCAGCACAAGTTTACGGAAAGCAATTGAAGCAACAACACCGAAAGTGGTGGCCACAGATAAGAAGACAGAATTCTGGAATGCTTACAAGATGGTGGCAGAGGAATATGACAAGGAATTCAAGGAAAAATATGGCACAGATCTGGACACTGCCCTCATTTTTGTGTGTCTGATTCATTATTCTCAGAACCAATCTCACATCTTTACAACAGGCAGGTCTTTTCTCCGCAGTCAGCTCTGCTTTCATTATCCAGATCCAAACCCAAATCCAAGTTGGGGATACCCCCCAAATAATCTTGGTTGCTCAAAGCCTGCTCTACATCAGCCTCTTTGCAACACTCATGGCTGCACTGCTTGCTGTTCTTGGTAAACAGTGGCTCATGTACTACTCTGCAGCAGACCGAGGATCTATGGAACAGCGTTGCATTGCACGTCAACGCAAACTTGATGGCATTCGCAAATGGAAATTTGAAGAAGTCATGAAGACATTCCCCCTTCTTCTGCAGTTTGCATTGCTGCTGTTTGCAGCTGCTCTTTCTACCTTCCTATGGACAGTTCATCACTCCCTGGCAATCATTGCGGTTGTCTTGACATTTCTAGGATTCATGGCATATATGTTCCTTCTCATATCTGCTGCAGTATCTCCAGATGACTGTCCTTTCCAAACTCCTCTAGCTTCCCTGGCCAGGACTGTATGGATTTGGATGAAATCTGTTCTACATTGGGTAACTGAACACCCTCGGCAAATGATGGGACACATCTACTCTGCCTGCTCTCCCTATCTTTGGAGAGCCCATTTCCTACCGCAGTTTTCAAGCCACAAGTCTCCTAGTAACACCTCAGAGCAACCAGAGAGCCTTGCTAATGCCCCACTTCCAGACCCATCTCCTGAAGTTCCTGCTGTATTATGGGTATTGGAGACTTCAACTGACCCCTCCATGGTCAGAGCAGCAGCTTGCATCACTCCAGATCTACAGTGGCCATGTGTGGATCTCACTCCCCAGATGGTCCGGTTGCAGGAAAGCTTCTTGGCATGCTTTGACTATGGGATCTTCATGCGTGAAGAAGACCCTCATGATATGCCCTCTGGATTTTACCTCCAAGATATCCTTGATGGAATGTCACCTCGTGCTTGTGATCTTGGATGGGGTTATTGTACCTTGTATAATGTCCTCCAATCTTTCGACACAATTTACGGCACATACCCAGAGTTTGAGTCAGCTCTCTATACACCAGATCCTGAGCTGTCCATTGTACTC